GGTGGGGGGGTGGGAAGGGAGAAGAGCAGGGGAGGTGGTGGTGGTGGTGATGGTGGGTCTTGCCTCAGCTTTTCCTCAGCTCAACGCCACCTGACAATGAACGTGTTTAAGAGCCGAAAGTAGCAGGAACAGCCGGAATTGAAAGCGACGGAGCGGTTTTAGTGGAATGTTAACTGTTCTGAAAATTAAAGACTATCTAAAATTGTATTTCTGTGATAGGAGCTTTTAAAACGCCATTTAATCCTTCTGGATGGATGCTTCAAGGAAGGATTAAATCCCTCTATATATACATGCACTCTTAGGCAGCAGACACTTACCTATATGGTTAATATTTTTTGCACTGATCGCTCTCTTTAGGCAGAGAGAGGAGAGCTGAAGTTCAACTTGGTTTGATAGATCTCATATTTTACTTAATACTTAGCAAATGAGTGAGCTGCTAATCTCAGACAAGTAATGTATGTTCTCCAATTTAACTGGTCTTTAAAAAAAAAGTCTTTCCAGTTTTGAATTTTGAAATGGCCATTAAAAAAAAAAAAGTTTCCAGGAGTTATGTAAGTTATGTATAATATTTGCAATGCTATAAAAAACATAAAAATAAAAACAACCTAACAACCGCTCCAAAAGAACCAATAGACCCAAACCCTGTAGTTTTTCTTCAGCTTGGATTCCTGTCGTCTTTATTTTATTTCCTCCCCCCTCTCTCTGATCTTAAGTGCACTTTAGTTCTCAGGAGAGAGGACTCCCCACTTCCACAGCCTTTTCAGCGGGAGCTGCAGTGCGTGACAGTTTACAGCCAAAAAACTTCCTCCAGCTGAAGGAAGCTGAACAGCTATAAAGATTCCCGATTTATAGCAATACTTTCCCTCTTGCATGGGCAAATTAGTAGCCTCCAGCTGTTACTTCGTGTTCAGAAGGCTTGTCCGTCATTCCCTGCATTATTCCCCGGGACACCGCAAATCACTAGACACCTTCCCAGCGGGAACCAAGCCGCCCCTGTGGTCCCAGGATACCAGCTGCCCCTCTGCAGCTTTAACCGCCTGAGGATGCCGTGTGAAAATTTCATCGTGTTTAAGTATTGGAAGTATTTGTTTAAACATCTTTCAATTTGCAGTTCTGGGGAGGACACGAGCGATTAACGCCATATTTGGTACCAGTTACAGGTCCCTCCTGTCCCACTCCCCCCCTCCGCCACTTCCCGTGCCCACCCCGGGCAGCAGCGCTGTACTGGGCCAGCACCCATTGAGCCTGGGGATGAAACCCACCTTCCAAAGGGCAAAACTTCTCACTTCTAATTCGCTGAAGAGCAAACACCTGCCTTCCTACCACCTGGAGTTTTTCCCCTTAAGGAAAATGAACATTTATCATTATATATCTGTAACTGAGATGTACATTGCTGCTTGTCAGCTGCTTTTTCCTGGACACTGGGGAGGAATGTCCTACTGATACTACTATGGAGGCATTGATGTTCATGTAAATGCCATTTTCCTAGAAAGGTTCTGGATCTTGCTTAACCTGATATATAATTTTACTTATATATAAGGTTTACACAAAACCTAAAGATTGTGTTGGAAGAGCCCTTTATAAGAACTCATTGCTTTGTAATCCCATCTTGCTAACATATACTTACATAGGACAGGATAGCCTGTGAAAACATAGCAGTTTTGCCCATATTAATGTGGGTATGTGGATAAGTGGACCCTGGGATAAGTACTTTTCAGGATCTCCACTTTTAGTATTTAATAGAACTTATTTTCTCCACAGGTTTTGATACAAACAAGTTTTTGAAAAATATTTTCCTTTTCAAGTAGTCTGAGCAGAGCACAGCATATTGATGTTGGTTTGTTTTGCTTTCCCCCTTTAGCATTTGGGAGGGCAAGGCAAAGGCAGAGTGCCATCCTGCATTTTTGGAAGGTGGCAAAACTCCCGTTGACTTAGTCAGATCTTTGCTTGAGTACTGCTAAGTGCCCTCTCCAACTCAAATGCTCAGATCCTGAGGTTTCCCTCATGAAAGTCAATGACCAAACTTCCAGTGACTTCTGCGCCTGTTGCACTAGATGGCATCAACTGGGGAAAACCAACAAAATAAACTAGCGCTCCCATGAAAGTCGTTATGAGAGCATCTGGCAGAAAGATAGGTGAAATCAGCAAACGTGGGAGTAGAATATCTTGACCTAGAATATCTTTTTCAATATCTTAGCAATATTGTTTAGATGACTAGAGGTACTTAAACCAAGTTTTCCTGTGTGAACTAGTGGGAACAAGGAGATAACACAAACAAATGCCACTCACCACTCTTAACAGGCCATTTCATTGAAAGTTGCAAAGAGGGACAAGCACAACAGGGACTGCAGGGGATGCAGAGAGAAGTAGTAGAATAATAGATACTGTATTATCCTGGCTTAAAGGGTAAATTTTAAAAAAAACTCCAACCAAGCAAAAACTGGAACAACAAAACAAAACAAAACCAAAAGAAACAAACCAACCAAAAAAAACCAAAACAAGACCAGAAAAAAACAAATATACAAACAAAACAAAACAAAAAAACCTAACGAAAAGGGAAAAGACCCACCAAAAACCTGCCAAAAAACCAATAAACCACCCGATCCCACACTGAAGACATATTCTGCTTCAAACAGGGACTCTAGAAATCTAAGGACAGAAAGTAGTAGTGTTGTCATAAATGTCCTAGCAGGAGTTCTGTTGGGAGACCGTACCATAAACAACACCTTTTCTTACACTTCAATCCATATAGTTCCCAAAGGTCACTAAT